GGGCCTGGTGTTAATCTGACTGTGCGAGAAAAGAAAGGAATGAGGAGGAAAGCTGTGTGGAGGGACAAATGCTGCCTGATGGGTAAGAAAGCATGATGTTATATCTGAGTCCATCCTGAATGCGAGAGGAAAGTGAGGGGTAAGGATGAGTGATAGCATAGGGAAGAATTCATGTAACAGATTCTTTTGAAGGGCTGATGAGCATTCCTATATCCTGCCTATTCCATGCATGGGGTACAACTGGCCTGGGCAGTAGACATTTTTGTATAAATAACCCTTGTTTGCTGGAAGATAAAAGTTTCAAACTAAATATTCTTGTCCACCTTGAGTCTAACAGCCAACCCTGCAAACTCATCCTGGATCTCTGCAGCATCTCTTCCTCAGCATCTCTGCATGTACTGGAGCAAGCTGCTCATCCCCACCACCTGCCCACGCTTAAAGCAGGTAGGCAGGTGGCATGTGCTCCCATTTGTCTCTGTATATGACTTGATGCAAAAAGCACAGGAGGTATTTTCCTGCCTAACACACACTGCTGGTGTCATTGCTGCTGGAAGTGTCTCTTTGGTAGGATCTTGCTGGCTTTTGCAGATGTGCCAGGGTAGCTAAGTACCGCTTCTGGAGATCACTCAAGCAGATGTTGTAGGTAAAAGCATCTTCTCCTTGCCCTTAGGCTTGCTGGGAAGGACTTGTGCTCCCAGGTCACCCCACAGACCTCTGGGCTTCAGGAATTTCTGCTGATAAGAGAGGGATTACACAAGGTCAGACCCAGCTGAAAGAGCAGAGGGAAGCTGGGGGCTGGATGCTTCTTCTTTGGGCTTCTGGTACCTGCTTCCCTCTGGACAGAAAATGTGTGTCCCTGAATCTATTTTAGATTTCTCTTCCATGGCACGACTTCACCCTTCTGTCTGGCAACCTGCTAGAACAGCAAAGATTTAAGGATCTTTAGCTTTTACTTCCCTGAGCCCTAAATCTGAGCTAAATCAGGAGCTGCAAGGACGGTCCTTGAGGGCTGCCTTCCTTCTCCAAATGCTCTCCCTGCTCCATCACAGATCTGGCTGCAGCTGAACTGCAGCTGTGGCTCCAGCTCCCGCAGCCTCTGAAACAGAGAGGAAAGAGGGGAAGAATCTGTCCTATGGAAAGAAAAGCCCTTCAGCGCATTTTCCAGCCTCCCAATGGTTAAGGATCCAGAGAGCTTGCAAGCAGCTCGCAGATTTGCCTGTAGAGCAGCATACGTACAATTATAAGAGCAAAACAACAGCTTGGCACTGGAGGGCCTCATAAGCTGGAAGAAATTATTTATTTTATTTATTTATTTTAATGTAGCTCCATGAATTTGCAGGATGACAGGGAGCAAAGCCTGATTTGCTTGCAGATGGGGGTGTTCCCAAGTACTGTCATCTCCATTCCCCCGTCTGCCCCTATTCTTCTCCATTTATCCTGCTGGGCACCGCACCCTCTGATACAGCGGGGGTAGCAGGGGGTCTTGGAAGCTCCTTGGCTCTGCTGAGAAGTGATACGTGGAGACAGCAGGCAAAGGGGAAATGTCACAGTGTCACCCTCATGACGCTTGGGGGGACGTCAGCCTGTTTGCCCCCATCCAGGGCACGGCTCACCCAGGGGGGATACAGGCAGCAGGGGGGAGCTGGAGCAAAGGGAGGGACAAATCACAGCTATGGGGCAGGAATATCAGGAGAGCATTTGGGGACAGCCTGTATTTGGAGAGTGGGACCAACCCTCCATCTCAAAGAGTACCATGGCAGACTGCAGACCTTAGGGCTTTCCTCCTCCACACCCCTTGTCCCCAGCACCAAATGGCCCCAGGACAATGCACCTGTCCTACACAAGTGTCTTTTCTGATGCTGTGCACCTTTGCACCATAAAGCAGTGGAAACATCCTGTTCCCTTGTAAAGTGGCACAATAAATCCCATGGGAGTGCTCCTATCGGTTTTAAGGAAACTCTGTAGCTTGTAAAATGCACGCGCCAAGTGTTTGCTCTTGCCCCAAAAAGCTTTGTTCCCCTCTCTCTCAGCCCCAGGAAGCAGATGCAGTTTCCAAGCTGCTTGCTAACACCAGCTGGCTGCCTGGACACTGCTCTTCCCAAGGGCATCTCTTAGAGGGTGTTCAGAACCCCAAAGAGGTCCTTCCCATCACAGCAGCTTTTAGGTACGCTGCCCGATCTGTGGCTCAGTTCATATCTCACAAGCAAAGTGTTCTCCTTCCCCAAAACCCATAGCAATGTCCTAAACCTCCTAAAACAACGAGGATTTGGTAACAGCAGACCCACTCCTCCTGCAGCCCCAGGGCTTGCCGGGAGCCCTCTTATGAGTAATAAAACCAAAACCCACTTGCACCCAGCAACATTCAGCCTGCAAGCATCCCCTCCCCTTCTCCAGGGGCCCGAAGTGCCCCTGTGTTAACCTCTCCTGGGTAAGGAGCACCCCCAGGTTTGGAAACTTTAATGTCATAACCTGTTTGTCCTGTTTAAAGCGCAGGGCAGGGCTGGGGAGCTGACAGATCCTGAGTAAGCTCAGCCTCCAGCTACCCTGCATCTTTATGGCTCAGTGAGGGAGAAGGAGAAGGAAAAACAACCCTTAGAGCCTCACATTTTTCTGTCTCAGCTTTTTTTTTTTTTTCCTTCAAAAAATAGCAGCGTGAGGCTTTGCCTGGGTGTTGGTGGGACTGGGTCTGGGATCAGGGAGTGCAACACAGTGATTCATTCATCAGTGAGCATCCTAAGAGTTTTTCTCCCAGATCTGAGTCTCTGGGAGAAGGCTGCTCACAGGTGATCCCTCCCTGAGATGAAAAAGCTCCCTCCATATCTCCAAAATCAGATTCGCACCTCTCTTGATCCACGTCAGCCACTTCTGTGCTGGCACATGATGAGCCACACAGCTGCGCTGTACCCTTGGTACCAAAAATCCTCCCCCTTGCCTCATCTGGCTGCTCTGCACCTCCGGTACTTGGCTGGGAAATCCTTGCACATGGGTGTGATGTAGCCACTAGATAAGAAATTGAAAAAGAGAGGAATTGCATGTTTCTTGTCACCTGTGCTGCATCCAGCATGTGTCTTCTCTGGGGTTTCTATTTGGAGGGTTGATGTGACTTATCATTTGAAATAAAAACGTGTATGGGGTTCTCTAAATAAGATGATTCAAAACTTTCTTAAAAAACAGAATTTTCATGTGTTTAAAGCATGAAAGAGTTGGCCAAGATTTCTTTGACATAACCCAAGGCCCTACATATTTGTGATGTATTTATAGAAATAAGTGGTTTATGGTTTGTTCTGTACTTTAATGATGCCAACTCAGTGTTTTGCTCCTGGATGCAATAAATCTTGTGCCAGGCAAAGAGACAAATGCAGCCAGGAGCGGGGCAGCACTGTCTCTTGGAGAGGTGCATTGGCTCTCAAGCAATCCTCTGCCTGTTCCGTGCCCAAGATCCAGCCTAAACCTGGGGTGAATAAGACATCTGAGCAGTTAGCCAGAAGATATTAAAAAAAAAAAAAAAAAAAAAAAAGTAACTACATTTGAAGTGGCAGCACGAAGTTGTCACACCTTGTTTTCACCTCCTCATCCCAGCTCCTTTTGGAAGCATTATTTCAGCCGGGGTACAGGTAGGAAAGTCCTTCAGCAGGCAGACACGCACACAGGGAGGTGAAGCTGTATGACTTGGCACCTCGTGGGCAGGCAGCATGCAAGATTCGGTGGCTCAACAGTTGCACGACACGTGCCCAAAAACGGTGCCAAGTGCTTTCGCCTTTCGGTAGTTGCAAACAGAAAGCCGAGCAGCCCAGCCACCCGACAGGAAACATCTGCAATCAGGCGATCATAAAGCGAGCCGGCTCGTGTTTTATCCCTTTTTCTTTCTTTCTTTCCTTTTTTTTTATGACAAAAATAAAAAGATAAGTTCACTTTGAAACTCGTTCTTGACTTTAGCGCATATGAACTTAAAACAAACTGGTTTATGGCTCCCCCCCCTCCGTGATATCTCTGCTTGCAGGTGGCAGAGGCAGGCTCAGCCTGATAAGATTACTGATATGGAGGGAAACTGCTGCACTGAGCAAATGTGCTCATTAAGCAGGAATCTTAAGAAGTTGGGGATATTTGCCTAATGCCCTCCTCCTCCCCATCATCCCATGGAGCAGAGGGACCAGGGTGAGAGCAAGGCTCTCCCTGGCTTGGGCTTGGCCAAAATTTTGGAGCGTCAGGCGAGGACCAGGACTTGCCAGGCTTCTTGCAGTCAGGATGGCAGGTGGGCATCCAAGGGAAGCCCAAGCTGGATAAGGGTCCAAAAACACTTCCAGAAACAGTGCTAAGCAATACACCAGGGTGGATTTGGGGCAGCAAGTCTAAGGAGACCACCACAGCGTGCCACCAGATTTAGGGTCATCTTTGCTCATGCAGAGCAATAACTTGCTCTGGGGTTGGTGGATGATAAACATCTTAGTCATCGTGAGTAAAGATAGGGGAACGAGCCTGCAACAAGTACGGCTCTGTTCCACCTTTATTTGAAGACCAGATGTTAAGCAACCAATTTTTCTTGGCCTTTTTAGTGGTTTAGTGGTTACATTAGGCATGTTTCACTCTTGCCTTTTTCTTTTCAGGAGGGGATAAAACTGTCACCGTGAAAGGAAATTAGTTCCTCGAACTCATTTCACTCTGTTTTCTGCTTTTTGGCCAAGCATTTTTACATGCCAGGGTTCAGAACTTCCTTGTTCCTTATTTATTGTTAAGTACAAAAATGGTAACTGCCATTTCCAGGGTTGGAAATAGGGGGGATGTGGGGATGTAGGCACAAAATGACTGCTCATGGTGGATGGGCATCACCTCCCTCCTCGCTCTGCTCCTTCCAACCTCTGATGGAGCAGGCGAGATGCCCCAGTGCTTCAGTCTGGGGTTGGAGTTTTGAGTGTCATAGGTAAGATATGACCCTAATGAGCTTAAAGGTCATCAAAGAAGGCACAGATTTAGGAAAATCAATGTCCTTAACCAAAGAGGAGTTCTGGTGTCTATAGGAATTTATTTGCTACCCAAAAGCAGTGACATCACTGAGAAATGCCTGGAAATGTTAAGTGAAGCTGTTATAGAGTGTTTTATTCATGTCCTTGTTTGATTTTATTTCCTAGGTTGGGTCCAAAACTCCTTTGGGAACTTACTGAAGGGTAAGGATAGATCTTCGTCTCCACAGCTGTCCCCCTCTCTGTGCAGTGCTTCCTCTCTCCAGGGAGCTTTCTCTCACCACGTCTCATCTGTCGGGCCCTTTGCAATTACCTAGGGCAAAAGATAACATGCAAACACGTTCTTAGCATTCAAAGCACTCCGAAATATCAGCTTGCATTACCACTATACAACAAAGCACAAAGACCACAGATTACAGCCCGTGACACCGTGCACTGCCCAGCCCCGTGGCTCGCCCGGGGAAGTGATACCAGATGTAAACACGAAGGCGGCACGATCTCCTTTGCATGTTAACTGAGCAGCCAGGGCAATCACGGAGCCAGGCACGCTGGTTCTCTTTCAGTGAGCCTCCTGATTTGCTCCCCATGCTCATATCAAGAGATGTTTTACCTCTGCGTCCTCCAGACTCAGGTGGCTTCTCTCATACAGGCTCCGGGACTTCTCCTTCTGCTCTTGTCCATGCAATCAAGACAAAGATTTTCCCTGTCACCAACATCTCTGGGCAATGCACTGGTCAGTGTGCCACAAAACACCCATCCACCACGGGCAAGGCTTCAGCAGGCAGGGTGGTCTTCACAGATCTCTTACCAAAAAACAAGTGACACCTCTCTACATGACATGCTTGTTTCACAACTGAATTGTGAGGTTACAAGGGAAGGTGTCACCTAATGATGAAGCACAGCCCGGCAAGGATAGGAGACAAACAGGGAAGGATGTATGGAAACAGCCAGCACAAGGGATGGATGGGGAGAGGGGCTGGTGTGGCCTGGAGGGGCCAAGGACCAGGCTGAGGTGGGGAGGGGACAGTGGGGTAGGACAGGATAGAAAGTGCAGGGGGGAAAACATCGCATAGACCAGCTCCTTCCCTCACTAGAGCCACAGTTGTTGCCCCCACAGATGAGGGCTGGTGGGAGAAGTGCTGTACCCCCCAGTGCAGCCCGGCTGTGGCATTGAGCATGGCACAGACCCCCGCTGTGCTCAGGGGGACATGCCATGCTGGCCATAAGCACAACACCAGCTTGGGCCCTTCCAGAAAACAAACAAAAACACACCTCAAAGTGAAACTCTCTGACATTCCAGAAATAACAGCTCTGCATCCCTCAGAGCCTAAATCACGCAGGCGGGAGCTCAAGCTGTAACATGCTGGCTGGTTTCTACCCGGCGCTGCGCTTTAGCCAGCTCTCCAAAGCAAACCGAGAGCCCCGGCTCCTCCTCCTGGGGAGATGAACATCCAGCAATAAAGCCGCCCTAAATTACTGCGAGCAGAAGAAGTCTTGCTCAAGGCTGTGCAGTGCCTCGGCGGGGATCCACGTAAAGCAGCCGGCGTGAGAGGACGTGACACGACCTGCCGCAGGAATTGTACTGAAACTCCAAGCGTGTCGGAGCAGGAGAGCATCGGGGCAATGACTGATGAAGATTAGCCTAGATAGCGAGGAGGAATGGCATGTCAAAGGAGGAGGGGGGAAGCGATATGGCTACGGGGAAGGAAAGGCAGGGTGGAGCCAGCGGCTGGAGCTGGTGGCCTGCCAAGGTACATATATGTTCATTGAGCAATCCTGTTCCTCCGCTTGCCTGGCAGGTAACAAAAGGCGTGCGGGCGTCTACGGGAGGGTGGATGAGGAATGCTCTACTGGCAGCAAGGAAAGGTCCCCCAGCACAGCCCTCGCCAGGCAGGGACCCCCAGGGGCTCCCCAAGACAGGGTTCACTGCAGATGCCACCAAACAACAGGGAGCTGCTCGGGATGAAACAAAATTAAATAATCGAAAAGAGCGGTACGCCAGCACGTGGTGTAGATGAGAAGGGCTTGCATCCACCCACGGAGGGATGGAGGTGGCAGGGCCCCTGGGGGTTGCTGGGGTGCCGAGCACCAGGGAGCTGGATGAGTGCTTGTGCTTGTGCCTATTAGGTTTTGCTCTCCAGCCTGCCACCTGCACAGAGCAATGAGTAGGATTTCGATTTCATGGCATAGAAGAGAAATTCAGGAACATGCCCTCTCTGAACAGCTATGCTCTGCTGAACTGGCAGCCCAGTGCTGCACTTTGGCATGAGAAGTATTGCCTCTCCAGAGCTTAAGTATCATCACCCTGCAAACCAGTGGTATCAATGAAATATCTGACATCTCTCTAGTAATTCTTTGTAGCAGTTCTCCAAGCCACAGATTTCAAAGCTGAGTATTGTGTTAGGTTCATACAGTAGGGAGAGACCCAGAGAAGAGAAATGACCTCTCTGGGGTCAGCTATAATCCCCTACCTGCCTAGAAACTCATCCAACCATTGCATCTTGGTTCACCAGGCTTCAGTGCTCCTCTTCCACCTCATGCCTTTCTCTGTAGGCTGGCTGCTGATACATGGGAGTAAAGCAAATCTTGAAGATCCGTGATAAGTAAAAGAAGAAAAAGGAAAGCCTAGGCAAGGGGGAGGACTGCAAGGCATGACCTCCTGATAGTCTGAGATTCACAACCCAGCAAGCTCGAGTGAGGGTTTTATCAAGACCAGCAGTATTCATTACAATCATTTAGACTTATCCTCTACCTGTTCATCCAAACAGCGAACCCAGACTCATAGGACAGCACATAAAAAATGGTGAAGCAACCCTTTTTCACCTTCATAACTTCTACCTCTCTCCACACACTCAAACCTTATTTTTAAAATCCTCTCCCTAACCCTCATGGCTTAAACAGGTCTTTGCATGGCCCCTAAAGGGGTCAAGAGCAAATTAGTCCCAAACAGCAGCGGTTCAGGTGTAACCTCCCTCTCCATCCTCCCAGGGACTTCTGCGGGTGTCTGCAAGATATAACCAGCTCTTAAGAGCACTTAGAAAATAGGAAGTACTTGTACCTCTCCACACAAGTACCCATGGAACAGATACACTCCTCAGGAGAGGTGTGCAGGGCTGTGTGGGTTTTGCCACCTTTTGGTGCTGCTGGGAAACACCAGGATGGTTTTCAAACAGAGAAGGTGTATGTGGCTCAGTCTCTGCCAAAGGAGGGCTAAAATACAAATATGGTGCCTAGAAATTAGGTATCTGTAGGTGTCTGCCCTAGACCAACGGTGTGCTGGTCTGGGAGCCCTCTGACTGCAGAGACAGACTGGTGTGGTCCCTAGTCCCACCACCTGCACCCACAAGCTCCCAAAAATGGGGAAACAAGGAGACAGGCAGCAGTGTGAGATGCACTGTGGGAATACGCCATGACTGATGAAAACCTGCACGCCGCGTTACTGGGTGCCTAGCCCAGGCTGGATGGAGCCATTTGCAACTGCTGCTTCTCAGCTCAGAAAGGTCCACCCAAAGCTGCACCACCTTCAGTCACCTCCTGCAGCCAAGAGTCCACTGTCCTTTCACCAAAGTGCTGCCATTTGGGACATCTGAGCAATGCAAAACACAATTTTGCACACATGTTGCAGTTCTCAGGGGCGATGGTGGGTGATCCATATGTTACAAGGTAAAGGGGCCATTGCACATTCCAGGAAGAGCGCCTTGCCTTTGTGTGGAGCAGCCACTGTTGGACGCAGCTGATGCTCAGCATTTGCATGGATTTGATTAGGTGACAGACTGGATGTGAGCCTCTCTGTTGATAAGCAGGAGTGAGGACATCTCATTTGCCTTGCCCTTCTGTTCACTTCCTGACTTTGTGCAAAGTAAGGTTTTGACTGGTGCAGCAAAAGACCCCTTTGGCAAAGCAAGAGCGCAGACCAGGGGAAATCACAGTTTTGCAGTTCATGCCGTTTCTTTACTATGGTGTACAGTGCTCAGGCTCCTTGGTGCAAGGCAGGCAGCAGCCCATGCTCTCAGGATCCCTGCCCAGGCACCAGCATTTGTACGTCCTCCTGACCCAAAAGCAAAATGGCAGTGATGACCTGCCACGAAATAATTGCATGAATTTTCATGAGCCTGGTGTTCTCTCCATTCCTGCCTATCTCCGTTATTTAACCCCTGGGGAAGAGGCATAAATGGAGAGCCCTCAGATACCTCTGTCATGCTGATGGCTCTATGCTGCCGTTTGGACACAGAGGAGAACTGATGCTTTTGCACTGATGGGGTGAAATGTGCTCTGTTCCTTGAAGGCTGATGCAAGAGCAGAGCCTCTGAGCTTTCTGTTTTGAACAGCTCAATGATGCCAAGATAAAGTGGAACTGACCCTCCTCATTGTCAGTGCAAATTATGTGATACCAGTAAAAGAGAAACACAGGAAAGACTTTGGCAAGAATCTATAAGCAGGAGAGAGTCTCCTTTGCTGTGTGGAAAGCACTGAGCATGAGAAATCAGGCATACTGCATGAATACAATGGCTCTTCTCTTTAGCCCTGCTCTGTTTTGACACCAGCTCTGCTCTCACTGCCTGAACTTCTGATGTCCCCCCACATCTGTTAGCTCCATGTATCCTCTAGACAAAGAAATAGAGCAGAGCAAGGTGTTAGCAGGTCACAAAAAATCCTCACCATGAAGGAAACAAGGAGGGAAACTGAGAAGCTCATGCACAAATGTGAAAATGTTGAAGGGGAGGGAGAAGCTCTCCCATGGCTGATCAGAGCGGGGCTCAGGGTGCCTCCCCTGAGTTTCCATCCACACAGGTTTCCATTCCTCCCAGGTTTCCATCTGCACCCATAACTCAGGGTGCGGACGGAAACCCTTAAATCTGAATCCTTTGGGTGTCTCCAGCACCAGACTTTGGGCAATCACAGCCCCAAAACATGTATTGCTCAGGCAATGCAAACAGTGCAGGCATAGTGCCCAGTTCTTGTTGCACAGCTCCCTGCTGGGACGTGCATATCTTGTGACCACGTTTGAGGCACCTGTTTTGAAAACGTAGCCCCAGGCCTTTATTTTATAGCTGCCCTCAGTGATAAACGCTCCCTCCAACCAGCCGAAGAATGCAGCTGTGAAAAAGCGTGGCCGGCTGCAAGCGGAGCAGCAGCTCTTGAGCTCCTCACAGCTTTCCAGGTACATGTCCTAAGGAGAACAATCCTACCAGTCCCACTGGGGAACAGAAAGAGCCAAGGCAAGGGAAGGTGGAATGAAGTCCCAAAGGTCTTGCAGAAAATTGGTGTGTCAGGAGGTGCTTTTTGTCTTCAGGTTTCTGTTCCGTCAGGGACCTGTGTGCAAGAGGTCTTGGGAGCTACCCTTAGGGCTGGATCTTCCACTGAGCCCCAGAGCAAATACAGGGATCTTTCTGAAGCTATCCCACTGGGAGGACTTGAATGCACTTTTAATACAGCTTTATACTTACACACACACACACACACACACACACATACACCAAAGTTTCAGAAGCATTTGGAGCACTCAGAAGAGGTTTAAGGGCTGAAGTGAGGACTCAGGTGCTTAAAGTCACGAACAAGTCAATGCCTAAAAACGTAGATTATCATCTAGTAGGTTTCTGAAAAGCTCAGTAGGTGCTCAGTTGCCATATGGACTTGAATCAGCTAGCAAATCCAGCCCTCAGTCAGTATTGCTAACACACTATTAGCCAGCATAATGTGCCCGAAGAAACATTTTCATCCGTGTTACACTCAGTAAAATGTTACAGCATCAGTACAGCTCCTCTGAAGAGATCCTATAAGGATGTAGGCAACGTGAGAAGCAGAAAATATATCTGTTAGTGTAGGAAAAATATTATTACAGAAGAAAAAAAAATAAAATAATGGTTTCATGTTGGTGGACTTCTGAGGCAGGGTAGCAAATTTCTCTTCTATGAATCATTCCCATATCAGGTTAGCCAGGATCTCATGTCAGAGAAGTAGTAACCCAATCCATGCTTAGGTTTCTCCCGTTTCTTTGATTTGCCCCCCAATAAACTTTTCACAATCAAAATTCCAGCTTATTCTCAGAAATGCTCAGAATTGCTGGCCTGGAAGTACTTTGTGTTCTGGTAATTGAAAGCGTTTCTTATGAGTGAGATTTGTCCACCCTGGAACCAGGGGTAAGAACGTGCTCCTCCTGCTCTCCATGCAGCCTAAACTGAATGATAATTTCAGAGCAGTTATTACAGCAAAATTGCAGGTGCAAAAGAGAAGGTATTAAGAATGAGTAGCTGACGTTATTTGAGCTATCAGTAGGGCTCTCCATTTCTGTTTCCACAGAAAGCTCTCAAGAGAGATCAAGGTCTGGGCATTTACAGTCCATGGTGTGGCTCAAGGGGCTGCAAGTGGCATGTCCCCAAGGAGGAGCTCATGCCACCCCATGCTGGGTTTTCACCCCACCCTCCACTGGCTTGGGATGAGGCATCTGAAGCTGGGAAACACCTCCAACCTCACAGAAGAAACAAGGGACACGGGGACCCTAAAGGCTACATCCCCCATGGAGACAGTGAGGACAAGATGCTGGGAGGGCCAGTCCAAGAAGTCAGCAACACGCATGGTCTCTCCCATCCGACTCTGCTTCCTGGAAGAAGTTTTATTGCCACTGAAATGCTTAAAGCTCTGTGAAGCCTTTGCCAGCTGGAATAGTCTCTTTGCACCTGTCTTTTTGTTGACACAAATCCCTTCTCTAATAGAGCTAATCACTCCGCTTTGATAAATCTGCCAGGCCCCCGATACGAGCTCCCTTCCAGCCCTCGGCGCTAAACAAACAGACCATTGTCTGCACTGGGCCAGCCAGCCTGTTAATGGTTAAACTGGGAGCGGGCGGGCTGGGGGGAAGGCAGCATCACAGGCTGCAAAGGGATGGGTCTGGACATCCCCCGTGCTCACCAGTCTGCAGTGGAGCTCTGTGTTACTCCCTGAGCTCTGCTGCACCCACATAACCCAGGTTTAAGGTGGGCGATGCCACCACAGACTTCCCTCCCCGGAGGAAGCAAAGCAAGGACTGCTCCACACCAGAGGGCTTTTAACAGTAGCGTTTCAGGTTGTGTTGGCAAAACAAGATTTTTGGCCCGTTAGTTGCCTCCAGCGACACAGGCTGTACATCCTTCTGCGTTTATGGGATGAGCAAATGCGGAGGTAACGATGTGCCATTGCATGGCGCTTGAGCAGTGACTGCAAAATTCGGTCACACAGCCCAGAACAGCACACAGGCACTAGGTGCCAGCCCTCTGCTGATATGAGCTGTATCTGTAGGAAGATCTTCGAACGTGATCCCCAGGAAAGCTCTCTAGCAAGTTGTAATCAGCCCCACGGTGTTCAGATGAAACCCATTACCATTTGCACCAGCTAACAAACCCATCAGCACTAGCAGATTTCTTGATGGCTTTGTTCAGGCTTGCTATGTGCCTCAGGTGAGCTTTATCCATGTCACCAGGAAGACCAGAGGTGCCCCAGGAGGGAGCTCTGCCCACCTTGGTTGTGCTCCCAGCACCAGGTAAGCATTTAGCCCTGTGTCCCTTTATAAAACACCAGCTTTGTGGTCCTGCCCATGTGGAAGGAGCTCATCTCCAGCTGCAGGAGCCCTGGTGGCTTCAGCTCAGTCTTGTGCTCACCCCCTGAGGTCCCAGCACTCAGTCGTGGCTTCCCACAGCCACTTTATCTTGATGATAAAGCCAGAAGGGGACGCAGATGGTTTCTGCTTGGGGATGCTGTGCAGAACTGGGGCCCTTAGGCTCTAAACCTGCGAGTGAAGAAATGTGGATGCTTCCAGCCCTCCCAGAGCAGTGCGTCACAGATAATGCCAATTACAGCTACCAAAGTCCTGCTGTCCCTCTCTGTCTCTCCCCACCACAATGTTCTGAAGCTCCTTTCTTTATGTCACAGCCCCGAGGCCTTTTTGGCCAAACAAGCACTGCATCTCCACCTGGCTATGGGTGAGCTGGCACTCACGGGGATGGCCAAAGAGCAGGCACAGAGAGAGCCTCGCACTTTGTCCGCACTGGCAAAGCCTGCAGTGGTCACTGGAGGTGCCAGGCACTTTGCATGGGTGAGTGGTGCCCCCGGGAGGGGTGAGGTGGCTTGTAGGAGATTGCCAAACCGGATGATTAGGGACTTGTTCGTGCACAGCCTAATCCTCCTCCACTGCTCGTGTGGGTGCAGGAGCCTTCCAGCTCCTCCGTACCCACCCCGAGAACAGGAAGAAACTTGCACCCGAGGGACTCGGCAGCTCAGGAGAGCCATGAGGTCAGGAGCCTGGCAGCGTCTGACCAGGGATTGCCCACGGTACGTGGAGAAAAAACAATAGCGGGATCAGAGAGTGATGCAAAACGCTGAGAGCTTGCAACTGCCAAGAGATTTAGAAAGAATGTGCATCCTCGAGGAAGCGATCAGGAGGAAGGCAAAGCGGATGCCACTGGGTTTGGCTTCCAGGGCTGCCTTTGCTGCAGCACCCACGGGCACGATCCTGCATCCAGCATCACCTCCTCTCCTGCCTCCTCTGGAAAGGGCCTGGGGAAGAGCACAGCCACTTCTCCCTGCATGCACGTGTGGCAAGAGAAATGTATTTTTTTCTCTTTCCCCAAACAATTAATGTCAATGCAGAGAGGCAGGTGCTCCTGGCGCGATGCCCTCCTTTTTGTTTACAGAACACTCCTTGAAGATTATTTGTGTTGAAATCTTTTGGCTTTTCTCTCTCTCCTTCTCTTTTTTCCCTCTTTCTCCCTCCCCCTCATCATGTTAGCATTCTTCCAGCCAGTTTTTGTGCCCTGTGGGCCCTCGGCAAGCAGCCTATACACTGGCAGGGAGCCCTGACAGGCTCAGCCCAGGCTGGGGGCATGGATGATGCTCCTCGGGCATCATCCCCACACCACTTTGTGGCTAGTGGCGAGCAGAGTGAACTGGGCCATTGTCCAAGGGCTGCTGCTGACCCTGCCATTTCCATCTGAAAGGCAACATTCATGTGAAAAGCATCTTTTCCTCCTCTTCCTCCACCCTGCCTGTGAAAAGCATCTTTACCTCCCCTTCCTCCACTCTGCCTCGCACCAGCATCATCCTCCCCTTCTCTCCCACCTCCCTGCCCCAGGAGGCACCAACATGGCTTTACCAAAAAATGGTCTCAACTCTGCACCAAAAGCTCTTACTGACCTACAAAGCTGCTTGCTTTCATGCACTTTCCTACCTGCGGCTCCCACCAGGCTCCCGTGTGGATGCTCCCGTACTCGCTCTGAGTCATCCCTGGGGACCGCGGGGCCACCGCCACGGGCTGGTGGCATTTCTGCGTGAGTCACCCAGGTGAGACAGATTATAGTGAGCTTTATGGTCGTCTTCTCGCTGTTTCAAAACAGAAAGCGGACGAAACAGGTTTGAGGCAGTGTTGGAAGGTTGCAAAAGATTGAGACAGAAGGCAAAAGTGCACCCTCTTATTTTGTTTTAAAGGGGAAATAAAAGTTCAGCCACGCTGAAATCTGCAGTGAAAAATAAATTAAGATTCCCCCTGAGTTCAGCCCAGCCCAAACGTCAGCCCATGTGCTGGGGATGGCTCTGCCAGCTCCTGGCTTGGCAGCAGCCCCTGCTCTCCCTTGCAGTGTAGAGAGGAGTTTCCAGCAGCTCTCCCTCTGGATGAGCCCGTCACAAAGTGCTGAGCAAGCACCACTGCCACCCACTTGGAGGGGAGAAGCAACCTTGAACGGCATCTGCATCCACTCGGCTTCATCTTTGGAGTGCTGCGCTGAACTCTTGATCCTCTGAGCTGCTGCGAGCTGGTAAACAAGGAGGGGATGCTTGGGACGGAGCGCTGCCGCGGCGCGTCTTGGCCAAGTAGTTCTGTGCCTGTAAAACAAGCAAAGAAAATGATGTTTAAATTGACCAGTAGGGAGAAACAGCACAGAGCAGAATAAATTGCTGAGGCACTGAGGAACCATGCAGAGAAAGCCCTGCACTGAATGAGATGCTTGTATGCTTTGCAGTGTATAGCCACCACTCGGGCCATGAAGCTGGATGCAGTGGCAGCAGAGAAGCGATTTATACTAAATGGTGTAACATTTCCATCTGGCTCTTCAGCAAAAGGACAGGGGTTTAAATCTTCACCGAGAAATGAGAGGCCCAAAGGCTTTCTATCTTCTATCATCATGTTGTTGTCTCTGCTGTCATTGGTCCTACTCGAGAGCATAGGTCCAGCTCTGTGTGTTTGGCAGCCTTTTTCCCCTGCTGAATCAATCCGATATCTCCAGCAGCTCATTCCCCACCATCACAGCAGAGCTGTGCCTTGGCACAAATGCTGCAAGCCACCCCCTGCAGCCTGCTGCCTCTGCAGACCCCCAAAAGCATCCATGGGTGAGCTGCTTGTCAGGCTGCATTGCCCATGCCATGCCACACCCCAGGACATGCAGCATCCCTCCTCCTGCCACAGCCATCAGTGCCTGCCCATCCCCTGCTCAGCCTCGCTCCTGCAGGCTCACCCTGCCTTTGGGAAGAGGATGGCAATGCTGGGGAAGGTGCGTTACATATGGGTAGGGTGTGCAGTTGCAGTTTTGCATATAGAAGTCTCAGCTACATGTTTGAGGAGCCCTCCTGCAGCTTCTCCATGCCAGCAAGATCCCGTTTCAGTGATCCCCACCACCATGCAAGCGACTGAAGTATTTCAACAGAGGCTTTCTTTTGAAATCAGGAGGGGAAAAAAAAAAAAAAAAAAAAAAAAAAAAAAGGCAAGCAGTTTTAGCTAATCCTTCCCCCTGTGTATATTGTTTGTGTACATGCACGCCTGGCTGGCCATCCACGTGCATGCACGGGGGAATGCTAAACTCCCACCCCCCAAAAAGAAGAACAAAGTGGGGCAGCAAACCAATCCCTCCAGGAACAATTGAAATATATATATATATATATTCCCCTAGAAAGGCGGCCTCGCAAAGGACTTTCTAGCTCATCGTCTGGGCCCAAGACTTCCTTGTAAGAGGCTGCTGGGCTTGTTGCAACATATTCCAGGTGTGTAAGCGATGCCCTGCCTTGCGCCTTGCACAGCAAAGCGCCTGGGGCTCCAAGTGAGCAGGGAGGAGAGGAGGGAGAGGTGCGGGTGTTCAAATTAAATGAAGCAGAAAGAGAAAGCTGGGACCCGCAGCGCCCAGGGCAGCGCAAATTGAACAGGTTGGACCTGATGGCAGCACAAGGAAGGCAACAGGAGGGATTCTCTGGCTCGTGGAGCAGGGCAAGCTGGCCAAGGAGCCAAGCTTGGAAAGCTCAGGCAGGGGGACAGGGGGTTATTTGGGGCTGGAGGAGATAAACTTCAAAATAAAGGGCTAATTCTTTGTTGTTGTGGTAAAGGGAGGCAAAAGGGTGCATAGGGCGTGTGTCTCTGCCTGTCTGCTCATGCTCTGCTTGCTGCTGGGGTCCCCGGCATCACTCACTGCTCTGGGTGCCCACTTTTCTGGGGCAGGCTCTGTCCCCTCAGAGAACCCGGGGCACTGTGATGGGCTGTGAATGAGTACAGAGAGACAAACACCATGCTCCAGGGGCGTGGGGATGCTGGCTGATATTACACATGGCATCCTCTTCTTTCCTTCCCCAGGAACATCCCCATTGCTGGGAGGCCATCAGAAAACCATGGCACAGCCTAAGGAGGGTCACCACCATTCTTTCCAGCTTCAAATTTAAAACAAAACACAAAAAAAAAAAAAAAAAAAAGGAAAATTCCCATTTTTAAGAATGATTTTTCAGGGTGGCCTCACTACACTGGTTGCCAGAGGGTTTCCAGATCCTTCTTCTGGAGGGACTCAGCACATAGGCCGATGATGGTTTCCTCACAGCTCTGACCTGAAGCCTCAGCTGAAGGGAGCAGAGGAACCACAGGGAACAGAGGTGCTCAAGAGCTGGAGGACCTGTTGTGGGAGAGAAGGTGAAGCAGGGGAGCTTCTAGACAACCCCCCAGGGAGGGCAGCAGCATTGGCAACAGGACTTGGGCATCCCTGCATGGGGTGCCAGGTAAGGGTTTGCCTTCCTCTGCAGCAGTGATGGACTGGAGGAACCCCCTCTTCTTTAATTAGTGATGCCCAGGAAATTAGAGAGCCCCCTCTTGTAGAAGGAGCTCTGGGTGGAAGATAGATGGCTCCCAAGCTTTGCAATGGGTCTAGAAGGTCACAGAGTCATTCAGGTCATGACTGTTTGCTGTTCCTTTTTTTTTTTTTTTCCCTAATATTTTCCTACTGCTCCTTCTATCTGGCCTCTATATCACAATCCTGTGAAACACAGCCAGAAGGGAGGGGACTTTGCTTTGAGGAGTGAAACCCTTAGCTACTACTGCCTTAGGCAAAAAAAAAATAAAAAAAAAAATAAAGTGACAAGGTAAACCAGCATCCTTTCTGAACCTGGTTTGAGCTCTGTAGGTGTAGGTACAGGAGTCAGCTGGTGGCCCCATGGCAGAAGTGGTCCAACATGGTCCTCAGGGTGGGATGTAGGGGCACAACTCTGTTCCCTGCTGCTCGAAACCTGCCTGGTGGGGTGCACCCCAGGGCTGAAGGAGCAGCTTGCGGGTGCTTTGTCGGGCTGAGGGATGAAAAGCAGTGCTAACCACGCCGTGTTTTGGTGGGTGAGCTCTGCCCGTGCGTGTGCTCGCTCACCGTGCAGCACAACGACTCTGCGCTGCTAATTCAGACCTGTAGGCATTACGGCAGTGTAAACGGTGCCTAGTCATAATAATAATTAATAAACATGCTGAAACAAAAACGTTCTCCTTGTTTAATTAACATTGGTCTTCAGCGGCTTTATCTTGGGGTGAGTGGCTACTTTGTCAGTGCTCTGCCTTCACGCCCCACCTTGACCTCCATGGACACGTCTCCCCTGCGCAGACGGGAAGGTCTCTTTTTTGCTCAAGCTCTGACCAAATGACTTTGAACCAGCAGTTTGCAGACTGCCTCTCATCTAAGACAAAGGCTACAGGAACAGAAATAGCAGCTGAAGAAGCCCAGTAGCTCTCTTTGCCTTGCTGGGAATGGAATGAGGCTGAAACCAGTGACAAACACTGGAGCTAGAGGAACAAAAAAGTGCAAAGCTTTGGGGCAAACAGAAAGAGGCTCAAAAATAATGAATGGCTTGGAGAGAGGCTAGCAGTGTCCTGAAGCAATGAACACACATTTTTACACCCTATGTGATTCACCTCAGGAGCCCACTGCTGCAAGAGGGAATTGCAGCCTGAGCTCAGGCAGGGTTGGGAATGGAGAGGGGACCCCTGAGGGCTGCGAAGCATCCCAAGCATACATCAGGTATCAGCTGGCAATGTCCAAAAACCTTGCAGCTATAAAAAGAGATACACCAGTATTAGGCATGAAGACCTTACTCCAAAGCCACTGCCAGGTTTGGGTGGCACTGAGCAGCCTGCAGGACCTGAACAGGGTGTCAGTGCCCACCAGGCAGGTAAGGAGCCCCCATCCCATCACGGTCACTCCCCCCTCCCACCATCCAGCCACCCCACATGGATGGATTCCCCACCAGGGACATTTCATTGGCCATGCCCAATGCTGTGTGGCCATCAGCCAAGCCAAATCAGGCGGTTGGAAGCACACAGCGAGCCCCAGCCTTGCTCACAGCTCATTATCAGGGGACTGAAGGCTCAGCCCTTGACCTCCTGCAAGCAGATGGGGATGAAAAGCATCCCGGGCAGGAGCAGGGTGGGCGTTCGCCTTCCCCACACTCTGACCTCCACTGCTTTGAAGAAGAGCATCCGTAATCTTTATGAGGCCTTGGAGATAGGAGCGCTCCAGGCACACGCAAGCCATCTGCTCCCATTTTCCTCTGCTTTCCCATCAAATCCCTCCCTGCTGACCCAATCCAAGCTGAAGTCCTTGCCTTCACAGTAAAGACTTATAGGGCCATACATCCCAACAGCAAAGCCAGGTAAATTCAAGGTCCTGGGCACCTTCCAAAAGTAACTGGAGGAGAAGAGATGAGGTGGAGAAGAGCAGAAGGATGGCCATGCTCAGAGGTGAGGACAAGCAGGTGAGTGGGGACAGTGTCACCCTAATGCTTTGCACCTCCAAGAAGCGCCCTGCTCCCCTGTGGGGCTTTAATGCAGGCATATGGACCACAGGGGTCAGAGTGTGCATTAGGCTTTGGGCAAATGCATAATTCCCAGGGCCTTGTTACTGCCAAAGCTAAAAAGTAGGTAAATCACTTGTAGTGGGCTTTGTGGAAGGCAAAATGGGGAATATATGGGAAAAGAGAGGGCTCATAGCACCTAGATGTGGCCTGAACCACCTGGCCAGGTGGGCTGTAGGTCCAAGCCGGACCCTGGGGGGGCCATGGAGGGACTTCCCAGCAGATCCCAGCCTGGGTCAGGCACGGGCAGCACGAAGGGTTTGGACTTGCCGAAACGGGGCCGGGAAGGGGGTGCTGGGGACCTGCATGGGGCGGGCAGGGCTGCGCCGGCCGTGCCCTCTCCTTCCATTGAGATGCAGGAGATAGGGCTGCGGCTCACGCGGGTACACCGGGGCTGCAAACACGCATGCAGGCTCTTGCAGGCTTCCTGCCGGGGATCTGCTGTCCTCCTGGTGGGTTTGTTTTAATGAGAACTCCTTGTAATCACCCCTGTGAAACTCAGGGTGGGGAGCTGTTACTTATTAACGCCCGCTCTTTCCAGGGAGCATGCAACAGGGGATCTGCTGGGAGAATCAGCCTCGGATGGGCTGCAGCATGCCATGGTGTGGCCGAGGTGTGTGCACACACTTGTGCATGCACGCACGCCTGTGCACGCTCATCCTCACGCCTGGTCTCAGATGCTACCGCCAACACACCTCCGCCACCGCGTCCCGGGTTTTCTGCTGGTCCTTTAAGCCCTCTGCGCCAGCCTGCAGAGCAGGAATGATAGCAGAGGTGCAAAAGTCCTTTCTGGTGATTAATGCATCATGTGTACAAAGAAGGTCTGTGGTGAACGGAGGCTGGAGCCGGGATTAATTGCATACCTTGAAGTGGAGAGATTTATGTAAGGAAACAGACTTGGCGGGCTGCCCCGCTCCGGGCTGTGTTTACCTGCCTGCGCCTCCACACCTGTCATGCTGCAGCAGCAAAATATTATTTAATAACATTTGAAGGGAGATCTTAATAGCTGGGCTCCCTCCCCGCCTCACCCCACCTCCACGGGTGCAGCAGTGAAGCTCGGCCTTACTTTTCCAGTGTTTTGGTGGGATCTGTGCCTGACCAGCCAGTCGAGGTGCTTGTGTTCCCGGGGGTCTCTCCCAAATGATTAAGCTCCAGTAATTGAAAATACCAGCCCATGGTGGTCTCCACGTGTGCCCATCTCCTAGGGTCATCCCACTGCAAGGTAAGCTGGAGGTCTCAGAGCAGGTCTCAGCCCAAAACACCCAACCTGGCCAGCCAGGGCTTTGCTCCAGGCATGATCCAAGCTCATGGGCTCCATGCAGGAGCAATCGCCTGTGTTTATATGTGGACAACACAGCTCCAACTGCTCAGCATGTCCATTCAAATAAGAGACAAATATTTGGTACAGCCCAGTTCAGAAATGCTTGAGCATGTCTCTTGAAAGGGATTTGGATATTAATTGCAGTCTGTTTGTTGATTTGCATGCTTATCAACGAGGGACAAGACCAAATAAAACCCCACAGGTCTCGAATGGGAGCACTTAGGGATTTTCTTCTTATCGACAAACCCTCTTGGTGATTATAAGCAAATAAGTCAGTGCTAAGGACAGTTGGAGGGGGGAAAGAGAAGTGCTTCCCACCTGCCAGAGCTTAGTCACTCCAGACCAGAGCTTCCCTTCTGGATGGAGACAACACCACACACCAATTATCCTCAGCATTTCCCCCCTGTCAGGAAGGCTCTGGAGCTTGACCTGTGTTTGGCATCTGCTCCTGCCCTTGGCTTTAAACAATGCAGGTCTTGAGTAGGCTGAATGCAATAAGGGGCTTGACCTGACTCTTACTACGTTGTGTAATTGTGGTTTTTTAGTGTGTTCCTCTCACGCCAAGACAGACCCTGGTGTAGACACATGTCCCTACCACCCTGCTTGGATACTGATGTTTGCAAGGACTTCAATATGGGTTCAGCCGTCATTCCCAAATATAAGCCAGCCAGCCTCAAGCCATTAAATGACACCGTACCAAATTAAGGAATCACTGCCATCACTTCTGGAAAGCAAGGACTCTATTTTGTGCCCTGTTGGTGCAGCGTAGCCAGGGTGTCCTGATACCACCCAAACACAAGCACAGCCAGTGTGAGGTCAAACGAAGCTCCGTTCCCTCTGCTAATTGCCCCAAAGTTTGATGTTTTCTCTTCCCAAATGAAAACTTTCCACTAACTCAGACTGTCCTAAACCTGGTTCCTTTCTGCATTATTGAAGGAAAACATTGTGGGATTGTTTTTTGTTCTTTTTTTTTACCCCCACAGGACAAACTTCAAAGGAGCAATGGAGACCTCCCCATTTCCATATGAAAAGAACAAGAGACCTGTTCTCCAGGGCCACTGCATGCATCCTGCTTCATTTCGCAGATAACCTCAGTGGGGGGCTCCGGAGGGGGATGTGTGGCCAGGGGGACAAGGTTCCCCAAGGTTAATCACAAACCGCTCGTCACAGCAGCGGCTGATTGATGGGCACCATTAATCACTGCCCAGCCAGGCTGGAGGGGACACGGGAGCTGTGGGGACAGGGAGAGGGTGCCAGGACAGGAACGGTGACACCCAGCCAGTGCTGCTGGAAGCACCGAGAGCCTGGGGAGAATGGGTATCACGGGGTGGTTTTGTAGGTGAACAAGTGTATGGCACCTTGCAGCAACGGAGACAGAAAGGAGCAGGTCTCTCCAGCCCTTGGAAATCCCCCTGGCTTCCAGCAGGGAGTCAGGATTTGGGATCCTGGCAGGGCCTGGGCCAAGGTAGGGGTGGGTTTGTCTCACAGCCGTAAGGCAATTAACAGATTTTCCATCCTCTTTATGGACTGAAATCCACTGAGATTTTTATAGGAACAACAAAGGCAGTAAAAGCCACACAAGTGAGATCAGTTGAGGACCTTGTGCATTTACAGGCTGGGTACCAGCATGTGCTTTTTCTTTCATTCCTGACAACTTCATACACTTTTTCTTTCATTCTGTTCCTAGCTGCTGCTCAGACTTTTGGTCAGGCTCTGCCTGCAGTAATAAAATTTGCATCCGTGTTAACTACCTGGATGCAAATGACAGTAAGGACTTGCAGCAGAGCTTACTATGCTGCGATTTAACCTGCTGCGGTACAGGAGCAAGCCATGCTTTCCACTACAGACATATCAGCTTTGCTCGGGTGACCATGCCAGCAGGCTTGTGATGATGTCTTTGCTTCCAACACAGGCTGAAGAGCAGCTCGTGGCCTCAGGAGATGGCTACATTTTCAGGTTTTGCTCCTGCAGTGTCAAGGATTTGGATCCTTGGATCTGGCTGCTTGGACATGAAAAACATCCCAGCCAGCTCTCACTGGATGCATTTAGTGCCATTTAAAGATACAGGTTTCATGGCCAGTGGGTGAAGTTGTGGGTTTTTTTGATTTAATCTGTGCTATAGATTGGGTACATTGACAGCCAGCAATGAAGCAGGGTCCATTTCTGATACTGCCTCATGCATTTCTACAGGCTCGATGCAAAGACCACTGAAAGCTGTGCCAGCCTGGACTTCAGTGAACTTTGGGCTGAATACGTGTTATTTCAGAGTTGGCTTCTTTGGGAGGGGAAGTGCTTCAGCCTCCATGAGCACTCAGGTATATAGGGCAGAAGGCAACTCATCTACCTCTGACCACCTACAACTGGCTACAACTGATGCATCTGCTCACCACGGACCCACCTACAGCCGTCAGGAGGGACGGGCATCACCCAGGGGCAGCTGATCCCATGTGAAATAGTCATCCTAGAGCAGGCAGAATGACCACCTCTGTCTTCATGGGCTATTAAAGCTGATGACTAGTTAAATGACTAACTTGAAGTAGACACCACACTCCTAGATGGCCAAAGGGAGATGTTTGTGCTGGATTTTTATCATCTCTTGTCGCACCCAGGAAGGCCTCTTTCACCAGGGGTGGTTGGCTTTGAGATGGGATTTCTGCTTAGGGGGGAAAAGATGATCAGAAAATACATTTTACTTTGATTTTATGTTATCTTTTTCAGTAGCCAAGGCTTGTGAACACAGTCATTTTGTTTCCAAATGACCACCTCTGATCCCTGTGTAGGGCTGTATAATTCAGGAATTATTCTGAATTAACTTATGTATGTCAGTTACCTCAGCCCAGCAAGACTTCTCTTCTCTTTGCTCCTGTCCAGGACAGCATTGAGTTCTTCCCCAATGAGGAACTTGTAGATGTACATTCCCTATGTAGAACAGCATTAAATAAATACATTATTATTATTATTATTATTATTATTATTATTATTATTATTATTATTATTATTATTGTTGTTGTTGTTGTTGTTGTTGTTGTTGTTGTTGTTGTTGTTGTTGTTATTATTATTATTAATAATAAAGATAAGAGATATAAGTCTGTGTTAAAATAACTGCCATCATTGCCAAATTTCTACGTGGCTGGGCCCTTACAGAATGGTGTCTCATGGGGGTCTATGGAAAGCTTCTGCTTCAACCTGTGCTTCCACTCACTGGCCTGGGTGAACTGACATCTTTTACCATCACCGCCTCATTTTTTCCTTCTGAATATTAATATATTTTTCCTTCTGAATATTATTCCTGCCTGATGAAATCTGCATCTTGAACTAAATCAACGGGGACAAAGGTGGGCTGGGCATCTCAGAGCAGGCGGCTTCTTTTTGTTGGAGGCATGGTCCTTGGGCCTGGAAACATCTCTAAGCCGGGGTTGTTTTGCCATCCTGGGTGCATGTTTCAACGGCAACATTATTGTAAAACAGCTTTGTGTTTACTTTGTGTACAGAAAAGATAAAATCAGCATTTATATGCAAACATGAACCAACAAGGAATTTCAAAATCCTGCCATTTCACTCCTCTGAGAAGGAGAGCCAGGGTTATTGTGTAACCAGAAACATCTGAAAGCAGGGGATTTTCTGGGTCTAAATTCAATTTAGATTATAAGAGGCTAATTTAGGATCTGACTGTATCACCTTGGGCAGCCAAAATAGGATTTGAAACACGGGGAGACAAGGACTTTGGGGTGTTCAAAACTCTGTTTTGAACAACCCGGTACATCAAGCACAGGGAGTGAGGGCTTTCATGGGGATTTCACTGTTTAAGGACTGTATCATGCCCCCATGCTTTTTGGATTGCTCAGGGACACAAGTGGGGCTTGGGGTAAAGGCAGTGAGGACCTTCCCTCCCAGCCCATGTTGGTTTTTAATTCTTCTCAGGCCGCTCTGTTATAAAGGAGTGAAAAATATCATGCAGGACAGTAAGGACGATGCCATCAGAGCCGGAGCTGCTGTGCTATTTGCAGCTGTGGGGAGATTGTTCCAAAGAAATGCTCAAAATTTTTCTGAAAGAAAATACCTATTGTAAAAACTTCAGGATGCAGGTGTCGGGGGGGATTTCTCCACCAGAAAACATCCCCAGTGCAGGCTATGGCTGGGTGTTTGCTCCTCACAGGTCCATGTGCCCATGCACAGGTGCCTTCTGCCACTCCAGCCCCATACCAGTCTCCACATCCTCTGCAGGGACAGCTGCTACTGGCATTTGTACAGGGTGGAAAAGCAGCTACGCTCTCTTTTGAGGTCAAATCTGTAAAATCTCTCTGCATCCTGCCTCCCCTGGCTTGCTGTGGGACGTTGGGCAGGTTAATCCACCCCTGAGCACATGCCACCCTCTGATAATGTCCCTGTGCTCATGTCCCCAGTGTCACTGCTGCACCTCTGGGGCGGGGGGGGCAAGAGGGCACTTCTGGCCCAAAGCTGCCCCTTCCCCATGGGCACTCTCTCTCCCCTCACCCCATTCCCCGCTGGGTTTATTTACACTGGGACATGGGGATAAATGAGAGGAAGGAGGAAGGAAAGGTCGCCTAGGTGGTGGTCACAAAAGGGGACGTTGTGCCTCCAGGGAGGGAGCGGAAAGGCCCAGGGAGACACGGGAGCACTTTGAAGTGGTTTGAATGAAAGAAGGGACAGAGGGAAGAGGGGAGGGGACAACACCAAAACTCGAAAGACAACAAAACCTCTCCCAGCTGGGACGCAAGTCAGGATGGTCTATTTATTTAGATGGATGGAGCCCAGCACAATGCACTGTGGCTGGGAGCCCTTGTCCCCACCCTCCTTGCCTCTCACTTTCTTCCCTTTTTTCCATTTTCATTCTTTCCTTCACTCCCCCGATCTCTGCTTCCAATTTCTTTCCCTTTCTCCAAGAAAGGAAGTGGGATGGTATATGATGTGACCTTAATTTAAAGGCAGGAGGGGGGAAGGCTGAAGGCAGTAGCAGAGAAAAATGGCCCTCAGAGTGGGCAAGGGATGCTTATGGCTGTTAACACCAGGTGAATCCCATCCCTCTGCACTCTTTTAGGAGTATAAACCTGGAGTGTTCAAGCTACCCTTGTGGCTGGAGTAGTTTGGGGATAAGCATCCCCATGCATCCCCAGATGTCATCGCTGTACTTATGATGACATAATTCAGGAATCAGATGGAGAGCGGATCTGACCCTGGCACCTTGAAGGGGCAGCTGCAATGGTGAGACAAAGCAATTAGCTGATGAGTACCTCATCAGCTGAAGTGGTCACCTCATCTTGCTGGGCTGGAGGAGTACAAGGATGCAGTTATGCAGTCATACCTGATGCAGAACAGGCACGGAGACATCAAGCATCTGTTCAAGGGAACCAAGAAACAAAGTTTCCATCCCTGGAAGTGCTCATGGCCAGGCTGGATTGGGCTTTGGGCAACCTGGTCTGGTGGGTGGTGCCCTTACCCATGGCAGGGAGCTGGAATTATATATTTAAGGTCCCTTCCAGTTCAAACCATTCTATGATTGTTGGGGGTAAGGAGATAGATGGTGATGTTTCAAAATTTCCCACACACAGAAATTTTAAAATAAGTTGACCCAAAGCAGAGCATCTACTTCAGCCCACTGACTGCTGGACATTGCAACCATGCAGAACTTTGGAGCTTTCAATAACATGTTGAACACTTTGGAATTAAAAGTTGATCCACTTGAAAAACTCCCCAAAGGGATCATTTTTTAGTTCTGCACTTAAAAAACAAAAAAAAAATCTTAGTCTGGATTTATATCACACACACACATATTAAAAAAAAAAGTCTCCAGTCAAACAATTAATTATAAAATATCAGGGGAAAGAGAGCAGCAACAAATTCCCCACTTAGTTTAATTTTCAATAAATAACTTAATCAGCTGTGGCAGACTAATAGCTTCTGTAGCGCTTCATCTGGAAGTGCATTACTGGTTGTTGCAAGGCACACAGCAATGCTACTGACAGAAGGATGCAGTGGGGATAATGCTTCACTGAATGAAGACAGACAGTGGTGAGAAGTCAGGCTGAGAAGGCAGCAGGGGGGTGTTCAGCACATCTGTGAGGACCGATCCCTGCTCCTATCTCCCCAAAGGCACCAAAAGCAAACAACTTGCGGGCAGTCTGCCACACCAAGTCCATCTCCTCTCCTAGCACCCCAGATGCCACCACGGATCCTGTCCACAGAGCTCAGCCCAGCCAGCCCTGGAATGTGCAAGACATGGACACCAGCCTTGCTTTCTCCATCTGTCTTTGCAGCACAGAGGTTGTTTGTCATGATTTCTGCTGGACCTGAAAGAGTGCTGAGAAGATTTGGTCCCTTTAACTAGAGGTGTGATTCTCTTTAATGACAAGACTTGCCTGCCGGCAACCATTAGTTCTCTTCAGCATCATAAACAGAGTCAAATTCAGCTTACACCACGTCTGAACTTGGCTTAGGCGCTATTTTTTCTGCCAGTACATCGCTGTTTTCAACTCCAGTCAGCACTGGTTTGAAGTTATTAGTGTCTGGTGGTTGGGGTTTTTTTGGTGGTGTATGCATCCTAAATGAGCTTTGTGGTCTCCCCACTTCAAAAGCCTCTCTGCTCTCACCCCTGTCTACTGGCTGTCCTGCAGCAAGACCAAAGACCAAAGGGTATAAACTATCTCAGTGCTGTCCTAGATCCACACAGCACATGGGGAGGCAGCGTGTGGGACAGCAGCTGGGATGCAGGAGAGGGTTTTGGGGGGGAATCAGGCAAGGAGATGGTGCAGAGCAATGTTAGGGTGCACCCCTCCTCGCCTCCATTCATATCGGACCTAAATGTAACGTGTCCTGAAAATTCCAAGTTGCTTGAAGCACTTCTCACCCTCTCCATTGCCCACTCTGCTCTGGTGCCAAGTGTCTCCTGGGCCAGAAGCAGGGACGGGGACCGGTGCAGAGTCCCATCAATTGCACACAGGTGCTTCACCAAGGGAAGCAGATGTTTCCATTCCTACCAGTTGGCTCCCATTAAATATAAGGAAGCCCTTGGCAGGGCTGAGTTGATGATGGGTGCTGCAGAGAGGTCTCTGTGTGGGCTCTGCTGGTAAGAAAAGGGCTGTATTTGCTCATTTTTCTGCCTGAGACTGTATTTGTTCAGTGGGTTTCACCTGTTCTTTGCATGCATAGTTCTGCGAAGGGGACTGGGGCTCCTTTGTGAAGTCCTGGAAGAATTGTGTGTATGAATCTGGGAAATGAAGAGAAAGGGAAAATGTGTTGGGGTATTGCAACACTTCCTCCTAGTATTTAATATCCTGACAAAAATCACTTTTTTAAAACTATATAAAAAAAAAAGTCAAGTGCTTTACTCTATAGAAAGATGTTTGCTGTGTTATAAAAGTGTCAACATCTCACTTACAAATTGGTCATTTTTTTGGCAGTGGCTTTAACAGAGAATTCCCCTTGGGGCTATCTGCTGCTCTGTGTTGGTTTTTCTTCCCCTTTGTAAAAAGTAAGAAACCAAACAACTTAAAAAGCAAGCACAATTTACTGGGTCTGGAGACTGGGTAGCTATTGTGCTGTAGGTTTGAAGTGGTGGGGCTGAGGCTAGGAGATGAAAGGAGATGAAGGAGGAAGAGAAGTGAGACTTCTCCGGCAGCAAGGTAGATGCTCACAGGCCAAAGCTTAAAGAACTTCCCTGGTTTCTGCAGCCAAAAAAGCATGTTACCAGAAGCTTCTCCTTTTCTGCTGTTTATGCCTCTGATCCTACTAATGTCTACCCACAAAAAGAAGCATTTATAGGGCTGAGGGTCAAACAGCCCTCACCTGCAGCCCAGCTGTGCTAGGACTTGTGTGGGTCACGGCATTGGTGGTGGTGCCCTGGGACAAGAGGTGGCTGCAGGAGGGAGGGGGCACACAGCACCCTGCAGAAATTGAGCACCTGATCAGTGATCTCCAGGTTGCAGGCTCTCAGGACTGGATGAGAATCTCTATTTAAAACAGAGCAGCAATGCTGGACCCTGGTGCTGGCTTTTCCTTGTTTTCCCTTTCTGAGCTGATGACACTGTCCTTCTAGCCCCCACCTCTTGATGATAGCTACAGCAGGAGCGGAGTAGTCTAGAAAGTGCCTAGGCAGCACTGGGTTTCTGTTCTTGTGCTTGCATCTCAGTGCACACTTCAACCTTCTTGGTTACATGAAAATAATGGATGGAAGAAGTTACTTGGATGTATTAGAGACTAAGTAAGAGTGTGTGTCCTCTGATGCAGGTGCTGGAGCAGCAGCTCACTTCCTTGAGGAGCCAGCTCCAGGGGGCTACTTGAGGTGAGCTGTGGAGAGGTGTCCCAGGGGATGCTCTGGCAGCACCCAGCAGAGCTCCTGTGCTCACATCAGCTGCTCAGAAGGAGCCACGGGTTCATGGCGTCCCCAGAGCTCACCATTTATTATCCTGCCTGATAGCCTCTGAGAGGCTGTGTTTTCCATAAGGGCCCAATATCAACTTGTGACGACAGCTGCTGCTGTGTTCATATCGTTAGTCCCATCACTCCCAGATACACTTCAGGCTGCTACTGCCCTGGTTGTAGCTTTGAGGAAGAAAACTGAGCCCTCCTGGCTGATGCCCAAGGTGGGTGAAGCCAGGCCAGCTCTGCCTACTGCTGACTGTTGGAGGGGCTGCCTTTCTCTTCCTCTGGCACCCTGCCAGCCTCCTGGCCCCCATCCAATCCAGATAAGTGACTGAAATATACTTACTTCTACCTGGCTATCCTGTGCCCTGCATGAAAAAACTGAGATGACCTCAGGGCAAGTCCTAGCACACCACCGTTGGCCCACAAACTGTGGCAAGCCTAAAAGCTTTGGGACACAGACCAAAGGCTGAAAAGATAGCATTTTTTCTGGAGTCTGCTCCCTGCAGACAGGAGGGGAGGTGGCAGTGATCTGATATTCAGAAGCTTGTCTTGCTGCCTACTGTGCTGGGCTTTGCTCTGCAGCAAGGTCTTCACAAGGCGCTAATGAAAAAATCACTATGGTTTGATCCCAACTGTTGGTCCATGTCCCCAGGAGGAGCTGTGGTAGCCCTGGCAGTTGCTGGGGGTACCACAAGGCGGTAAGACCATGGGAAGGCATTGCTGGTCCTTCTCCAAGGTTGGGTTGTCCTACTGCATGGAGGCACCCTCATGGCCCCCCCTCAGCACTTGTGCATAAGGCTTTAAACAGCCCATGTAGCCCTTTCCTAAGAAATTACTCATTTTAAATAGCACACAAAGACTTTTGGAAGAAGGGTGGCCATGGAGGTGGACCTTAGGCTGCCCATGAGGGCAACATCATTTAAACACAAGCCTCAAAATAGTGTAGTTCATTGCAAGGAACTACTTTAACATGTGCTGGGCTTCATGTGTTGTGGGTAATGAGGAAGGCTTCAGCCTGAGCAATTCAAAATGCCAAAGGAAGGGCAGGTGATGAAAAATTGAAGGGTTATGTCAGCCTGGGGAAGGGGCTGATAATCCTGATACTGTCCTGCAACTTGTTTCTGCTTCATTAGGTGTGTTTGTGGTGTTGGAAGTGCTGGATGGCCTGTTTTTCCTTAATTACCAGGGTTCATCTGCATATTTCTTCTGACTCTCCTGCAGTTCTGTAGCTTAGGGCTGGGTTTGGGTCTTCCCTGGAGTTTCCCTTTCAGGCACAAAATTCCTGGTTACATGACTGAAGAGAAATTATGTGGTCTTTGGAGACATTCTCCATCCCTGCCCCTGGAGTTTCGGGGAGCTGCTTTGTCCTGCTCCCTGGCTGAAAGCAGCAAGCCTGGGCACCTGAGATCCCCCTGTGGTACGGAGGAGACTTTTGTGGTCAGAGGGCTAAATCGCCAAGTCTTTACTCTGGCAGCAGTTGGTGTATATGGAGCAGAGGCTTGGGAGTGTGTCCTTGGGGTCAGAAATCTCAGCTTAGTCCAGGTGGCTGCAGGTGAAGACAGGAGTAAGCAGAGCTGGCTGAAAGTACCTGCTGTCTCCACAGCTCTTGGAGACCCCATCCTGCATCCTCCATAATGCTTTTTAAAAGGGCAGAATGATTCAATATCCTGCTTTCTGGTGCAGCCTCCTTCTCAGCTTGATCTGAGAACTTGGTAGTGAGCTGTGGTCACCATGACTGAGGCCAGAAGTCCCTATGTCCATCTCCTGCTTCCAAAATAGGGACAGATCCTTCTCCCATCACCCTTTTCCTTCCCCTCAAGCATTGGAAAGACTCGTGACCACCTTGTTATTCACCCCAAGTGAATATTCCTGTACATTCCTGATTTCCCTCTATTTGATTTGTACTGAAATGCTGGGTGATAGTGTTAAGGTATTTTGATGCTGACTGAGCTCAGGTTTTTTTTTCTCCTAATATTAATATTGCTTAAGTGAAAACTGTCCACAACCCATTTCTTGCCAATACTGTTACAGTTGATACAGCTTTAATGTTGCTGCGAAGGTATCTTGGGTGATCCGATGAACCTATAATGATGCTGGGAGTGACTTGACTCAGAGCCAAATATTGCTTTTGGAAATACTAAAGTGATCAGTGCTTCTAAAGAAGGAAAACAAACACCCTGCCAAGCCGTAGTAGAATTGTCTGAACAGATGCCTTCTGCCATAGTGGGACACCTGTGAAGGTAAAGGCAGCAGTCCTGCTTCCTAAATCACATGCAGGCTAAGGATAAAGTCCTGCTTCCTAAATCACGTTAAGCTCTTTTAGGCTAAGAATAAAGTATGTGGTGATCAACAAGTGGTTTGATGGCTGGACTTGGTGATCTTGGTGTCTTCCAGCCTGAATGACTCAATGTCTGACTGAATTTTGAGAGCTGCTCTGTAAGGATGGAGCTCTTCTTCCAATACCAGGGGAAGGTCCCTTGTCACCCACCGGCCCTATGATTTGCTCCTAGTGGAGCACATCACTTAAACCCAGGGCCGCATGGGGCAGAACCTCTGGAAGCAATTTATTGAGCACTTCAAGTCCCAGGGCCTTTCCAAGGGATGGCTTTTTGGAGGAATCCTGATTGGGGAATGAACATGAAGTGCAATAGCCAGTCCTCTGTATGACTCTTTGCCTGCAGGCTCCAAAATGTTACCTTGCTGTTAGGGCATGATTTTATTTATTTATTTTTTTTTTTTGCTCAAGATGGAATTATGTGGGATACATTTATAGATCTGGATTACAAAGCACCCACTGTAACTGCTGGATTTGGGGCTGCTGAGTGACAGTAACCCTCAAAACTTCAGGGCCGGGGGAAATGTTACCTTCCCATTACTTAAGCAGTGGGGAGGTTACACACCAAGTCTCTGCACAGTAGATTAAATTTAATAACCCATTCTGGCTTGGCTTTGCTCAGCAAATTCTGCAAGCCGGCCCACTTTGCTCTGTTCAACTACTGGTGTTCATTAACAGCCTCCTGTCACAGGTTACCATGCCATCACTGCTACATTTTGGTTCACAGCAACCTTTTTACCTCTGGCTTGCCTCCACTGATGCAGGTCTTCAGCAGGTCTCCAGCCCTGCCTGCCCAGGAGAGGAGCTAGAAGCCCCAAAGCCACCTTGATGCACACCTGCTTCTCCCCTGTACCTCATCTCTGCAAAATCTGCAGCGGTAAATGCAATTGTGCTCAATGTTGAGCAAATTCCCTGTTGCATGTGAAATGTGGCCCAGGGAGCTGTCTGTCGATCCCCTGGCCTGAGGCACGTCTGGCAAGTACATGCATCTTGCAGCCCAGGAACTGTTTATAAATAGATTTTATTTATAAAGTCAATTTACATAAAATAGGATACTCTTTTTAAAAACTGCATATGTACAACTTAAGAAATCCTAGCAAGTGCATACAAAAATGCCTTCAATACATTTTTTTAAAAACTTCAGTTTCAGAGAAGTGAACCTTCACACCAGGCAATCTCAGACACCGTTGTAGGACACAAGGTAACTTTACAGTATTTTACTAGTGTTTGGAGGAGAAAAAAAAAAACACCTTTTATCTAAATCATGTATGTTGCCAAAACATTCTAGCTGGCAGTGTTCAAGAACAAGGGAATAGGAGTTGCTAAAAATAGAACTGTCTCCTCAACCCTTTTCCCTAAGGTTTCTTGTACAAAAATAAGTCTTCATACACCACTGTTCCCATAGGCAGTTCAAGTTGCATATAAAACAGAATCTGACACTATAAAAAAAATTCCCTCCCCCTCCAGAAACAAGGAAGCATCAAGTAGATTTGTTTTTCTTGCTTTTTGCCACTCCACCAGTTGCTCGGGCATCTTTCTCTGGAGAAAGCAGGTGAGCACCTTTTTCCATGGGGCTGCCCCGGAGCGGGGTCGTGAGCATCATTGCACTTCAGCTCGGGGAGCCTCGGAGCCCGGCGAGGAACGCAGCCAGCAGGGTCCCACCACGGCTGGGTGAGAGGATTTGGGGGAAAGAGGTGGTTTTTAGGGGGGTGGTGATGTGATGCTGGCTGCTACGGAAGACGAAGGGCCCTGAGGTATATCTGTAAAGAGATCGCAAACCCCACGTTGATCCCTGGAGCACCACCAAGCATGGGGGAAGAAGCAGCAGCCCCCCACCCCGAGAGAAAAGCAGCCCCCCAAAGCGTGCTCACCTCCCGGCAGCTCAGTAGCTCCCGAGCCAGCTGGTGAAATCCAACAGCTCCCGCTCCTCGGGGCTGAGCTCCCCATCGTAACCACTCTCCTCGGAGGAGCAAGGGGAGGCAGAGGAGTAACCACCGCTGCCGCCACCGCTTTCCCCGACGGCCGCCCGCCCCGGACGGGGCGGGCGGCCGTCGGGGAAAGCGGCGGCGGCGTCGTGCTCGTCCAGAAGCCGCTGCAAGGCACGGATATACTCGACGGCAGAGCGCAGGGTCTCCACCTTGCTCATCTTCTTGCTGGCGGCCCCGTGGGGGACGTGCTGGCGGAGGGCGGCGAAGCCCAGGTTGACCAAGCGCACCCGGTTGCGCTCCCGTTCGTTGCGGCGAGCCACGGCCGCCGCGGCCCCCCCGGTGCCCGGGAGGGAGGCGAAAGCCAAGCGGCGCTTGCAGCGCAGCAGCTCCGGGGATGGGGGCCGCCGGCGGCCCCGGGGGGCGGAGGGGTGAGGGGGGAGCGGAGGCAGAGCCCCGCTGTTCATCGCCGTGAGGCCACGGTGGCGGAAAGGGGGAGAAAGTTGCGGGGGTGGGGGGGAGGTTGGAGTTGAGAGGAAAAGTGAATCGAGGGGAATGCAAATTGGGGGAGAGGAAAGTGGAGTGAAATGCAAGGAAAAGTGTCGCGGAGTGTGGGGAAAATGCGGGTAGAATGCAAAGAAAATGCAAGCAAAATGCGGGGAAAATGCAAGAAAAAAAAAATTGAAATAAAACGCGGGTAAAATGTAAATGAAGTACAACCAAAACGCAGGTAAAATGCGAGGAGAAATGCAAATAAAATGCAAGCAAAACTCGGGTAAAACGCAAGAAAACCCGCCAGTAAAAATGCAAGAAAAACGAGAGTAAAAATGCGAGCAAAAACGCGAGAAAAATGCAAACTGCCACGCGCGTAAAAATGCAAATAAAAACGCAACAAAAAACTGCAAATTAAAAAAAAAAAAAAGCAGGGCCAGGAGCAACCCCGACCGAGGGGGGAATTGCGGCGGGGGCAGCGCCGTGTTGCCCGCCTCCCCCCCTCCCTCCTCCTCGTCCTCCCCAAGCCTCCTTCCCGCTGCCGGCTCCGCGGCTGTGCGGCGGGCGCGGCGCCGCCCGGTGCTTATCAACGCCGCCGCTCGCGAGCCCCCGCCGGCCGCACGCGCCCCGCCACGCGCGCCCCCGTGCCGCCCCCCCTCCCCGCCTCCTCCGCGCGCGCCCGGCGCGTGGCGCCGCCGGCCCCCGGTGCCGTCCCGTCCCATCCCGTTCCCTTCCCCCCCCCCCCCCAGCTCCATCCCAAACCCCGCCCGTGCGCCGCGCCCCCGGGTGGTGGGTTGGGTTGGGTTGAGTGTTTTGTTTTTTTTTTTTTTGGCTTTTTTGGGGGGTGAAGGGGAGGTGTGGGGCTGCTTGGGGGCACGGCGGGGAGGGGCTCTGCCGGGTCTCTGCGCCCCCTCTCCCCAAAAATGAGTGCGAAGGGGCTGCGGGCGCTGGAGGGTTTAGGGTTAAGGGGCAACCCCGGGGGTCAAGGGGGTGATAGGGAAATGCGGTGCGTGAGCGGGGCTTGGCTAAAAAAAAATAATTAAAAAAAAAAAAGCAAACTAAGCCAAAGTGAGAGATGCAGAGTTAAACCCTGCTGCTCTCAGCCCCAGCTTGCATTTCTGAGTGAGGAGCGGGACCTGGGCAGCAGGCAATGCCCCCACCTATGCAGAGCTGCCTCCCCCCAGGTAGGTGCAGCAGGGTCTGCTCACGGCGTGGGGTGCGTTTTGCCGCAGGAGGTCCAGGGGAGCTGCTTGCAGGGGTAAATGAAGCGGTGTGCAGTGTTTGCAGGGTTTGCTCCAGGCTGGTGCTTGGTTTCTGTCTGTGCAAGCTCTGCTTGCCCCGGGGTTTGTGTGGCACTTGCTGGGGATTGGGCTGGGCAGAGAGGGCAGTGCTGCAGCGGGGCAGTGTTGTTGGTCTTTTAGTAGCAGGTGCTCAAAAAGTCACTGCTGGTGCAAGCCTTGCTCTCAGGAAAGAGGAAGCTGCTTTCTTATGAGCTGTTCAAGAGAAAACTTTCTGCAACGCTCAAGAGTAATAACCGGATTTTCATGGTACAGAAATAACTACAGGGATTCCTTTTATTATTCTTGGTAACACAAAAAGGCACCTGGGAGCACAGCAGAGCACGTGCTGGGCTCACCCCTGCAGGGAGCCCTCCGTCACACGGAGCTGCTGCATTTGATTTTGCCTCCACTTCTGCACCTCATCAGAAAGTGACAGAGGCCCATCACGACAAGGCAGGACAGGGAAAAATGTGAGCAATAAGTGGCAGGGGGTGGCCGAGCATCCTCGGCAAGCAGGTGCATGCCACCTGGGCTCTTCTTGCACTGGTTTTGCTGGAGTAGAGCTGGAACTGCTGCTTGGATGTATCGCTGGCACAGCTGGCTCCCGAGCAGCCCCAGGTTGCAATGTGAACGCTACGTGGGAAAGCAAAAAGACTTGAGATTGAGAATGGCGGTGGGCTTTAGAGCCATGAATGCGGTTGTTTCAGTTTTGGGAGGGGATAGAATGAAAGTTGAGTTTGGTCTGGGAACTGCCTGCCTTCAGCTTACCCTCTTTTTCTTGCTGGTTTGTTGTCTCCCAAGCCAAGCCTTGCTTCCGCTCACAGCATGGTCCCACGCTGAATTCTAACCTTGGCAAAACCCAGCGCCCTCCCCCTCCTCCCCTCTCCTTCCCTCCTCAAAAAGAGACAGCTGTGGGCTTAAAAGTTGGGGTTTCAGCTTGCTGGTGCCCATGTGCCATATGAATGCTAAGCAGGCTGCGCAAAGCGTCCTTGTGGTGCCTGGGGGAAGGCAGGCTTTGCATCCTGGGGTTCACACAGCCAGGGCACGCTTTGGTGCAGGGAGCCTTCATGCTGGCACGTTTTATCTGCACACGTGCTCATGAGTGCAGCCGTGCTATGGGCACCTGTGAACCTGCCACATTTGGAGCCATTCCCACCTGCTGTTTTGCAGGAGGTTTTTCTTTGCCTGCTGCTGGGCTCTGATGTGAATGACTCGTGCTGCAGTGATGCTGTTGCACTGCTGATGGCTACACTGACAGTGAGAGACCTAGAAAAGTGCAAGGCAAGAAAGCGCCCATACAAACCCAGCCTCTTCTCCTAAACTTCTGTTCAGTCCCACAGCAAATCTCACAGCTCCTTCAGTGCTCACATCTGACAGCATGGGCAGCATTTCCCTCCAACTCAGAAGCGGGCTGGAGGTTTTTCAGCTCAGCAAAAACACACTCTCAGTTTGTTCCTTTTTTGTTTTTTTTTTTCTTTTTTCTCTTTTTTACATCAGTCCTTTCCTTCTGGCTGAGGTGCTGCGTACTTCCTCCACCGCTGCAGATGGGGATACCCGTGCTTGGTTTTGCAGCCCATCGATCTGAAGCTTGCAGCCTGCCACGAGGACCAAGGAAGAAGGCACCTGGGACTCCCCGAGGGTATGTTGAGCCTCACTCCCCCCTTCCTGTGCTCTGGCTGATAACCAGAGATAAGGGAGGAAGCCACAGATGGAGCTGTGGTCACCTGTGGTTTTCGCAGCGAGCTGGGAGCGATAAGCTGTGCTCTGGCAAAGGAGAGCAGCTGAGAAACACTGGCAGCAAGGTGGGAGGGCTGCAGAAGGGCCATGCTGATGGCCAGCACATTTTGTAGAAACAGCCAAAAATCCTACCAAGGTACTGGGAACAGGTATCTGCAACCAAACCAGGTAAAAGGTGTGCTTAGACCGGGTGGTTAAAGCTCCAGCCCTGCCAGCTTGGCGAGGCAGGGAACAAGCTTGAGTTTTAGGGCTGGAGACGAAACGAGGCAGAGCATCCTCTGGGGAGAGAAGAGCAGCACCTCGAGAGGGGTGTAGGTGAGGATCTGTGTGTTGTGCAGCGAGCTCCGAGGGCGGTGATGGTGCTGCTGCCTTTGAAGCCCCTGCGGGTGCTGCGCCCAGGCCCCCCGAGCCCTCAGGGCTGGCCGGCAGCCCGGCAGAGCTGCTCCACAAAGCCCCTGGGGTTCCGGGCAGGGTTTTTGCGGGGCTGTGGGGACCTCTAGCGTGGGATCCTCCTGTGCACGGAGCTCTCCACAGTCTGGCGCTGCGGGTGACGAAGGAACGGGGCTTTAGGATGAGAACCCCGGCAGGGCAGGGACCCGCCAGCCACAGGGGACCCGTCTTTCTGGGAACTGCTCTGGCAGCTCTCTTTGGTGTCTCTGGGGGTGCAAGCAAGATGTTTTGCAAGAAAGTTCTTCCTTTCCCGGGCAGAAAAGGAGTAAGAAAAGCATGGCATGTTTTTTTTCCTGTGCACATGGCTTTGTGCAATGTGCTTTGTCTTGCATCTCTGTTCTGCAAAGCGCATCTTCCTTCCTTTTTCCCCTCCCCTCTTACTTCTCTGTCATTTTACGGTAGCCACTGATGTGGGATGGTTTTATCTTTTTTCCCCTTCTTTGCCTCATGGGAGGACCGTGGCTATTTCCCGTCACTCTGCTCCACGGTCTAGCTCTGGAGCCAAGGATTATTAAAGCACTCAGTCACAGAGTCTCCCTTTAGGCAGGTTGTTCTTGAGGCTTCTTCTCAATTTTAATTTCAGGAAAGATACATCCAGCAGACAGCCGGTTTTGAAGCACAAGCCTCTTCTGGAAGGCATCTGTGAAGCTGCTATTGTCACCTTCAGTGCTGTATTATGTCCCCTCTTTTCATAGGGGGAGAAAAAAACAATCTGCAAGCCCGTCACCTGTAAGAGCTGTTCCCCGTGATGCCATGCCACTGCTCCAGGACTGCAGAAAGGCAAGTTAAGGGGAAACGAAGATCAGTTGGGTGATTTTCATGCTGCACAAGACCAGAAGTCACCTGGGCCTGAGGGTCTGTAGCTGTGAGCCCATGGGGCTGCAGTGCAGGGGAGGAGAGCCAAAACGTGCATGCACAGGGTGGTGGGGTGCTTCTGAAGCAGGGGTCGTATCTACATATCTGCAAATAACATTTCCCTAACCTTTTTCCCAATAAATAATTTATGCTTTTTTTTTTTTTTCCCCTCTAAGAACTTGACTCTGAGCTGCATGGCAAGCCATTTTTCTGCCTGTTTTTCCTCGTTTCCCACCTAACTGCATGGCTGCATTTGTGGGCTGCCAGCAGTTTGCTCTGGGCAGGATTTAACAGGGGAGAAGGAAGAGGTGGGGACTACACTTCCCAAGAGGCTCCACTGTGGCCGTGCCTCCCTTCGGTGGCTTTATCAAGAGCTGGAGGGACCAACAGCCAGCTCTCCCTGGGGACAAGCAGCAATGGGGCCGAGGTGTGGGATGAGGACCGCCAAGTGCCAGCTGATGGCCACCAGCCTCTGCATCATGGTAAGCAAGCAACTTTGGGGGCAGAGGATGGGATCTCTGAAAAATTGGGGTGAGGAGAACAACTACTTTCACCAGCCCTGCTCAGAAAGGGTCAGCTTTTCCCACGTTCTGTTTTTTGGGTGTGGAGGGGCAAGCAAAGCAAACTGCCTGAGTTATCATTGCGCCCTGCACAGTTATCGTGGGCCACCAGCATCACCACCCCGCAGCTGATAGACTTCTGGTTTCTCAGGGCTGCCGCAGCTGCTTCACAACTGGAAGAGGAAAGGAAAGCAGCATGGGTGGCTTTCGGCAAAAAATAAAGATGTTCGCTCCTCTCTTTTGGGGTTTAAAAGAGAGTCCTGGTGTAATTTCACTCGTTTCTGGGAGGTGGTCACCAGGAGATGGGATGGGTGAGGATGTGCAACTGCAGGGCTTTGGTGGAAGCATGTGTGATGGTGTTCCCTCCGTGGACCCACAGACCTGCCCCACAAAGAAAACACAATTCTAGGGATCCTTTTTAACAGCTTTTTGAAGCAAATTCAAGAAGCACTTCTTGACGTCACAAGTAGTTCAGGGGAAAACACACCACTGTTAGAGCTGGTGGGAAGCCATGGGCACTTGGGAATGCTTCTATTGGATGCTTCTGAGTTGTGAAGGCTCACTGCATTTACACCTCATGGACATTTTCAAGCTTCAGAAGAAAACAGAATTAGGTTCTGTAGTTAGTTCAAAAAGTGTTGGTGGCTTGGAAAGAGTGTAATTAAAGGGCAATACCTTATTTCAGTCCACGCCTGAAATTCCAAGTTTGTCAAAATTTCTTTTTGGGACTTGTGGCTGTACATTGCTCATTCTTCCAAATGACCTAAGGTGTCAAAGGAGGATTGCTACCAAACACGTTCAGAGGAGATGCTACCATGCAGCTGCCATGGGTGGCTAGAATCACGTTACTGCTGTGTTGGAGGATTCCTTGGGCTGGTGTTTCTCAGAAATCTGAGCTAGCTGGTGTTGCACTAAGCATTTTGCTGGGCGTGGATTGAGATACGCAATAACGCACAGCATGAGGAAATCGTAGGTGCTGTAAATTAGGTTATTTGTAAGCAGAAAATGCTATGGTTTGGAGGAACTTAGCTTCTGAAACTATAGTATCATTTTAGTATATATGTGTCTAGGATTTGTCCTGCTATGTGCATTTTGGGGTCTGTTCAGTGCTGTCCTTCATGGCTGTTTGGATGTCGAGGCTGTCTGCCTGTGGATATGACTCAGGAGCATCCAGACACATTTTGTACACTCAGCAGGACCTGCCGCTGTGTAAAACCCTTCCTCCAAACCTTCCTTTGCAGCTGCTGGGGCTGTCCATCGCCACGCTGAGCACAGTCACCCACTACGGGCTGCGTTTCACCATCATCAGCAACATCTCCCCCGAGAGCAACTCCTACCGGGTCATCCACCACGCAGGTACGTCATGGTTGCGCCCCAGTGAGACCTCTGGGGAAGGCAGGATCTGGGGCCTGGAGGATGCTCTAGTGCTAAAGGAGTCCTGCAGGCACTGTTTTTCCCACTGTTTTTGGACCCACACTGCATCTTTCCATCTTTACCCTGTGCTGCAGAGCAAGCCCAGGGGCAGCTCAGCCAGATGTAGGTGGACCTAAAGGTGTGGTGGGACTGGAGGTGCCAAGGGAGCATGGGGAGAGGGGCTGCTACAGGGATTGAGGTTGAATATGGTTAAAAATGATGCTGGGAGGAGAATAGGAGAGGAGAAATGAGTGGCAAAACCTTTTCTTGGGGGAAAAATGTTTTCGTTTCTTTTCCCTGGTTTAATTTGGACCCTGGAAGGTACCAAGGTCATAGGGAAAGACTAAATGAAGGAGAAATACAAACTGAGTCTTGGATACAAGACCAGAGCAAAGAGATGAGAACAGCCCGATACTTCATGCTTAGCCCTGAGCCAGGGCTGCAAAGCACTTGGGTACCGGCTGTGGCCCTGCCTTGGCCGGGAGGAAACCAGCGGGCGAGTGGTGCAGGAGATTAGCGGTGCGCCAAGCCCCGATAGCGGCCGCGGGGCATCTGCTGCTCTTCAGCATCCCCAATTTGGGGGCATCTTTATCAGAGGGCTGAAGTAATTGTCAGCTTATGGGCGTCCTCCCAGGGTGCCTGGCTCTGCTGGAGCTGGGGTTGCTGCTCAGAGGCATGCAAGATGAGCAAAGCAACTGGGAAATGATGAGTAAGTTATAAAGCATTCGAGTTCTGCAAATTGGTCTTCTTACACCACCTCCCCAAAATGCAGTTTTTGTCCTCTCCCCAGGCAAAAGCATTTTGCCATTAGTCCCCTCGAAGTCTTGGTGTCTGACCACAGATCCCATGTCCGGCTTCCTTCCAGCTTTCTACGTTGGCATCTGCCTTAGCATGACCCTGATCCTCGCAGCCCTGCTGAGCTCGGCCGCCACAGTACGGGAGTCACAGTGCCTCACAGCAACGGTGCGTATCCCTCCCGAGGGGCTGGCTGGGAGTGGGTGGCGTGCAGGCACTCGCATCTTCAACCTGCTGCATGCACACAGGGGTAGGACATCCCATTACACCACTCTGTGCTGCAAGGGGATGTTTTTTATAATGCGCAGCCTGGCCTGATCCCTTGGGGCTCCTCCAGCTGAGGATTGCATCTTTATGCACCTTGTTGTTTGTTTTTGGTGATGGTGGTGGGGTTTTCTTGTTTTGTTTTGTTTTGTTTTCCAAAGTAATTGCAGTTATGATGCACTTTTTGAGCAGCGTTTGAGCCTGGACTGTATCAACATTAATAAACTGAACTGCAAGCTCTGCTTTGCAGGAAGCCATGCGATTTCGTTAAGTTCTGGGGAGAAAAGCTCCCATTTTGGCTCATCGGTGCCTAGGGGCTGGGGTGACACGCTTCCCACGAGGCTGGTATTTAAACACGTGCTTTCTCCAGGCTCCTGCTGGCTTTGCCCCTGCACCTTCACTTCGGCTCCTGCCGGCTCCAGGCCCCTCTTGGCCGCTGGGGGGGGCCGGGGAGCTGGCGCTGGGCAAGGCACAGCCGTGCCTGGGTAGCAGCCGAGAGCCTTGGGAATAGTCGAGGAGCCCAGGGCAGCCAGTTTATCCTCTGGGATTTCTCCTGGCTTTGGGACAGGACTGGAAAGGTCCGCTTGTCCTCCCTGCAGAGCTCTGAAGCACCTCCTGCACCGCTCCTCCTTGCACAAACAGCTCACCGGCATGGTAACAACTTGCATCGCAGGGTTTCTATAGGGGAGCTTTTCCTAGACCTCTAAGTTGGCATACAGCCCTTTAAAGCTGTTGATATCTTGCAGCAGGGATTACCCTGCAGCTGGTTTCCCCACCAGTCCCTACCCACATTTGATCTTGGATGTGAAAGCTGGAGATGAAGGCAGAGAGCCAGCCTCTGAGGTCGGATGTGACCACGGGCAGGAGTAGCACAAGTCAGACCTGTGGGGCTCTGAACAGTCTCCTCCTTCAGGAGGGCTGCATATGCAGAAGAGGGGCTTCAGTCCTTTTTGTCCTAATGACAACGATGGGTCCAGGGTGGCTAGAAACCAGAATGAGTTGCATCAGCAGCTCATCTCATAGCTGCAGCAGCGGCACCAGCCCAGGCAGAAACCTCTGCACACCCACCAATGCTTGCAGGGAAGCTGGTTCCTGGAGAACAACTGAGATCTTAGAGATAAAATATTACTTTCAAAAATCCTGGACTGTTATTCCCAGAGCTCCTCTTCAATGGGGGAGCAGTGACGGGTTTATTGACTCTCGTCCAGCTGCAGTCCTGCTTTTTGGTGATATGCGGTGCACCAGGCAGGCAGCCCTGAATGTAAACATCCTGCAGCTCTCACGGCCTCTGAAGGCCATACTGCTATTGAAGGGGAGGAAAAGGAAGGAAAACTGCAATTTTGCTAGCACTACTTGTACAAAAGGAACTGGCTCTGACAGCATTTAAGGCACCGTGTGATGTTAGCTGGTCAGACAAGGAGAGAGGGAGGTGGGGGGCGGCAGAGAACAACCAGAATATCCCACCTGAAACTCTCACACTTGAACTTTCCAGCCTAAAAATTACTCAAAATAAGTGTTTGGGATGGATCAACTGTTTCAAGCAATTTCTGTGGTGGAAAAGGCTCGGTGGATGCCCAGTGTAACCCAGCTTCTCACTGAGTGATGTGCCAGCGGGGCCAGCACACAGCACAGGCTGTTTGCTTTACTGCCCCCAGGTGTGTAATTGCAGGCAAGTGCTTTAAGGGTCCTTGATAACCCAGCAACACACTTCAGCATCTCAGTTTTGCTGTGAATTTGTCTCTTCATAGTGCTGTAACACATCTGTGTGACAGCACTCCCCAGGAGCAGGCATTGATGCTGTGCTCAGCTGGAGCTGAGGAAGGGTTCCTCCTGCAGACAGAGATTGCAGGCAAGGCTTAAATGGAAAGGCAAGCATGCCATGTGCTG